TCCCCGGGGAGCCCCGGAGCCGCAGTGCAGGAGGTGAGAGCTGCTGACTGCTGTGTGGAGCCAGTGCTGCCTCCAGACCACACAGCAGCTTTAACCTTTGGGCCTGTGGCCAACCTCCCAGCCCTGCTCTTCCCCTAATGAATAATTTAGCTGTGTTCTCTTTTAAAGCAATGAAGGATTGGGCTGCAAATCCTCTGGAAGCAGATGAGTCGACTCCTCGGCGCTGCAGATAAAGACATTAGGTTGACAAAAAATGTTTATTTCAGTGATAGCATCCAAGAGAGTTAAATTTGAGATCATGACTAGGTGGAACACTAGGTGGAGGGGGTGTGGAGAGGGAGAATGAGGCTTGTGCTGTAGTGGAAAAGGAAAATCTTACCTATGACTCTAAGCTCTGCACTGGAATAGATGACGCCGTGTTTATTTTCAGCTATGCATTGGTATCTGCCAGAATCTGTCAGATTTAGATTTGATATTGTAAGTGCACCGTTTTCAATTTGGATCCTTCCCTGAATATTAAGAAAAATATCTTTATTGATGATACATTTCCTGTGAAAAATTTAAAATAAGTAAGAACTATAAAGAGGACAGCAGAAATACAATGAACGGGGTAAATGCAACAGCATCATCATGAGAGCAGTTTGAAAATAAGTGACACGACCACATCATGGCATGGCAAAAATGATGAAACAAGGAGACTTGGCAACACTGTGCCTGGAATAGATTATTCAACCTCACTCAGTTTCACCAGAGGCTTTGCAATCTCAAATACCCTCATATTTCGCCAGAAATATTGACAAAACCATACTAGCCACCTCACCACAGACCAGAGTAGCCAAACTCTACAGATGGCACTGGCATTTTGTACTGTTTAGAGATTTCACATGTGCCATTTGCTAATGAGCTCTCAGTAGTACTATGCAGCAAAAATTCCACAGTCATTAAAGAGAAGACACATATTTAAGTGCCTTACAGCCGACAAAGCTATTGATGTATAGGGAACTTCTCACCATGCTTATTCTTGGAAAGCCATATGATTTATGATAAAAAGTGACTAAATTCAGGAAGGAGTTGCAGGAACTGGTAAGAAAAGAAACCAGTGACAAGACAAAACCAAAGGAGCTTCTCCCTTGGGGAAGAGCAGAGAAACAGTAATGGACAAAAGAACAAACCATCTGCTCAATAACATTTTCTGTTGGGTTTATTTTTGATCTAGACATGGTTTACCAGGCCTAATCCTATATCTGTCTAGATGCTCTTGACCAACTTAGGAAAACCAGTATCTAAGTACTTCTCTTGACTTAATGGACTATTGTGTATTCCCACACTTGCATGAAGTATTGTTAATTTTACACAGCATCACGTTTTCAAGTGAGAATGTTACCTCTATTGCCAGCTGGTCTCCATCCTTCAGCCACCTGTATGATGGTTTGGGCTTCCCACTTGCTCTGCAATCCCAGTACAAGGTGTCCTCCACAGCAACTTCAATGTCTTTTATTGTCTGGAGCCAGTGAGGTTTTGCTGTGGATGAAACACACACCAAAGACTCTAGCAAGTCATTGTTCCCTGGGAGAATCAAAGGATTAATGTGCACAGGACTCATCAGTTTTCTGCCTAGACTGGTTTGTACCAACAGAGGTTCCCCCTGATTCTGCTGCAGGTCACCTAATGAAACAAATTACTCACTGTTTCTTTTACACATTTTTATTACAAGCAGTAAACTAAGAGAAAATGGAGATGACAGATCGCTAAAGCTGAGCTAGTGAAAGTGATATTAAAGTCATTAATGATTAAGCAACACAAGTCTGAAATTGAGCTAAATGTAAGATAAATTAGTGGTGATATTGGAATGGAATAGTTGATGTAACGAAATCATGAAATTAATACTGGAGAGAATCCTTTAAATCCTTGAAAAAATGTAATGGTATGCAAGCCTTAGCCCTAAATACCATTTAAATTGTTTTCTAATGCTAGTCTAATGCTTAACTGGATGAATAGATGGATACAGGAGTGGTTTTGAAAGCATTAGTCTGGGTGATGCAAACCAGAATATGTCCTGAAGGAAGTCTGTAAAATTCACTCATTTTTACAGAAAATTCTGATGTATTAAAACCATATATCCTTCAGAATTACATAAAATACAATTAAAACTGTGAAGACTGAGTCTGTTACAGCTTTTACAGGCTAAAACCCCCCAAAGCTCACTTGGCAAATAAACATCACTGCATGAAAGACAACAGTAGTTTATTCCTCCAGTGCTACTTCACACAAGGTAGCTAATTCCTGTGAATTTTCTTTGATTTTATTCAATTTACTAGAAAATTTACCATCTTAATATATGCTAGTTCTCCAAGAAAAGATAAATTCTGGGCATTGCATATGGAGAAAACATAAAGAGTAGGATGCAACTTGGTTGCAAATACATAGCTAAGGGCAAACAAATTTTCCAGAGTCAATCTGATTATCTTAAAGATTTTCATAAATTGGTAATTTAGGAAAATCTGATAATACCCTCATATCAAAACAACCAAAAAAACCAAAGTTCCTGGTGACACAGGAGGATATTATTTAATAGATGAATTTTAGAAGCACAGAAGGTCAGATTAATTCCCACTGAACTTCCTACTGCAATGGAGTTCCACCAGCAATTAATTCCAGCCAGGGAAAGGAACAACTTGCCCCTGGCCACAAGGAAGAGAGCTGAACCCCTTCCAGTGCCACAGGCACAAGACCAACAGATCAACACTTCCATGAAGGTTGGTATTAATTTCATTTTAAAAAAAATCATTCTTTTCTAGCATGAGAGCTGAGAGCTGAACCCCTTCCAGTGCCACAAGCACAAGACCAGCAGATCAACACTTCCATGAAGGTTGGTATTCATTTCATTTTAAAAAAATCATTCTTTTCTAGCATACAAATTTTCTCTCCATCAGATATTCTGCAATGCAGGGATAAGATCTCAACGTGACCACTAATACTATTTATGATTTACATTTACATACTTAGGGTTAAATTCCACAAAAGAACTTATAAAATGTGTTCATTGAGATATAAACTTAGGAGATTTGGCATTCAATCAAGATTTGCTGACAGTGAAACCCTTTGTTATTTCTTTTATTTTGCACATCCCTTATACATCCCCTGAGGATTAACACCTTTCACCAATTTGGGAATGATGTATTTTTTTACCCTTTCTTTATCAAGGTCAGCTCTAAAAGACAAAAGAACCTGATCTTTGTGTCAGAAAAATGTACTGTCTTACTGATAGGAATTTTGGTTACATCTTGAAAGTTAATGTTATAACACTGGAGTTGAAGAAAGAGCCACTGCTTGATCCCACATTGCCATCTGCCCTGTTTGCCCCACATGTGTCAAGGGGATGAGAGCTCAGGACCCATGTCAGGATGCTTCCTGCTCTTTGCACACCTAAATATTTATGCAACAAACAACAGGGCTTGAATTATTGATGGATCCATACATGTGCAATATTTCACATCTGCTGCCCATCCCCACTTGAAAGTAGGTTACATATAGTCTGTTTTCAAGATCTTGGATTCAATTCCATTAATAAGAAAAATATTGTCTACAGCATAAATCTTCGTTTTAGGATTCTACATGTCAGACAGTCTCCACAGAAGGGTCTCCAAGGTAGAGATGATAAACTGTGTCTTTTTGGAAAGCATGGGAGCAAGACTCCTCAAACCAGCAATGAACAGAACAGGGCTTCCTGAGCCACCCTGTGAGTAATTTATGGTGCTTGCTCATTCACAAGACAGCATCAATGTAGACTTTTGTGATTCTCTTGAGGAAGGCTCTTTTTCTTCCTTTCAAATTACTGATGAAGGAGTTCAGCAGAAAGACAAATACCCTTTTCAATCTGCCACATCTCAAAGTCTTTAGAGAAGGCTGTAAAACTATTACAATTTTCTTTGAAAAAGAACAATCCAACTAAGCAGTTCAAAATCGAAAAGGGAGCTGAAGAGGTGCAATTCCAGCTGGGAATATTCCACTGAAGACTCCAAATTTTGGCCAAGGTAAAGATGTCCTCATTGGAGCAGCTGAGGGAAGTTCAGACAGGTGGTCCTGTATTAGTAGATCTACATATCCTCTCAAGACATATGACTTTCCAAGCCCAGCACTGCCCTTTTTATTGAGCTCTGCTTGGCTGTACCTAAATTTAGAATACGCAGCTTCACAGATATTGAGGTCTAGTCCCTGTTAGGCAAACGTTACCTGCTTAGAATACCTGGTTCCACCACCACTGCCAAATCTGTGCTCCTGAAGGAACACTGATGACTTGGTAACAAAGCCTCATTCTCTCATGGACCTGCTGCAGTGGCTTGGTGTTTAACTGAGCTCTTTCCTGAGGAGACACCTCTCCTTTCTCCTTAAGCAAGGAACCAGCAACATATTTTCACTCAGATGTAATCCAGGTTGAGAGGCTAGAAGTTCATTTTAATGGAGTTTGCAGTGCAGGGTTTGAGGCTGACAGAAATCCATATTGTGTGATAATATTCACAATTCTTAGGAACTTGCAGCATGATCTTGGTGAAAAATTCGTATAAAGTTCCCTCAGGATGAAGTTGCAGGCAACTGGCTTTCTAAAGAAGGTTAGCTGTCAGCCTCATGGCTCGTCTCTTGGAAAAGCACGAGTCAGTGTTTTGCATTAGTTTCATAAAATTTTCTTTGGAACACTCCTTTTAATTCTGTGAGCCATAGGAACAGCATGAAGGCAAGGCAGAGCTTCAGGCTCATGACTTCTGTGTTGGTACCATCATTTCCCAGGGAGTACTGAGGGCTGCCATACCCTGGAGGCAGAAGACTACAAGAAGCTCTTCCAGAACAGTCCCTAATTGGGGTTTGCACATAAGATACAGGCTGCTTATAAAGAATATCTTTACTTTGAAATTTACAGGATGAAAGCTGGGCTGGAAATGTCCCTTGAGAATACTTTCGGATAGCTCAGCAGTTGGGCAACAAATCAGAGTCAAAAGGAACCTTCCATAGTTCAAGAGGAAGCACCTATGAAGTACACTGAGGAAAAAAAACACCAACCAGAAAATGTGACCTTCATTTTTCTAGGTAGCATATCTGAAAGTCAGGCTATGACACATTGATGCCTACAGCAGTGATGAACCTTATTTTACCTCAAACCTCCAAGTGACTTGAGCATGAGTAACTTCTTTTCTGACAAAACAACTGGGCTGGGAGAAGCATCTTGCACATCTCTGAAGATGTCCATTACCTGACTTCCACTCAAAAATTATTTAGTCCTTTTAGTTTTGTAGTTAATGTTTTGAAGACATCTTCATAAACAAGACAGAGTTGGGCTATCAGAAAAAATCTTTACAGAGTGAGGCTCTTCCACAGACATGAATAATGTTTCAGTATCATTTTGGAGCTGTTTTACTATTAAAATAATTAACAAAATATAAAAGTATGTATTGAAAAAACCCATGGAAAGTCCGTGTACTACTGGAGAGTTTGTCTTTGCTATCACAGTCCATCACTTTTGAGCAAAAGAACAGCAGCAGAATATTTTCTCCCTGTTAAACATTTTCCCTTGGCACTGTCAAGCATGAGTTCCATTAAATGAGCATGCACTAATTAAGAATATATTTTCAATTATACTTTAAATTATTTTTTTTTCACGTATCTCTACCATGTTCCATGTTTAATTGCATCTTAAAATAGAGAAGTGTAATTGTTTCATCTCTTCTCATTCTTCCATGCCATGAAATATCTCTGAGAATTTTTTCTTCTTCTGTTACCTCCTTGTGGAAGGGGCTGACAGCAATGAAAAACAAACACACTCCTAAGATGAAAGCATATTATTTATATATTCAGGTTTTATATTAAATCACAGTTAGATAATCCTGTCCTATTTTTAGCACATTCTGATCTCCCCTAAGGAGAAAACTGGCATTAAACAAATGTTGGAACTGTACAAATGACAATAAAGTGAACATATGATATCAGCTCTTCCTTGATAAAATTCTTCATGAGAAAAAAGGAAGATTAATAGTCTGTTGATAATGTTATGAAAGAACCCAGAGTATCTGTTTTACAATACCTATTTTAATTATTGACTTCAATTGTGGGTTCAGAGCTATATTTAAAAACCACAGGAAGTTAGAAAAAAAAAGAACTATTTTATTTTTCATGAACAGAGTTACAGATGTGCACAGAATTTCTAAACATACTGATAAGCATTCCTGAGAAAATGATTATGGACATGATTTAAGATGAGCCCCTGTTCAAGTGCTTTGTGGTTTCAAAAGTTTAATTCATTATTGGAAGAAGAGGCAGGATAGCACAGAAGACATAAATGGTTTTTTTGTTTAATTGAACAATTTATGCACTGAAAACCCCAATTTTCAGATTTCAAACTTTACAGTCTCAGCTCACAGAACAAATAATGAGAATAACAATGTTTCACTTTAGAGCAGAGCAATGAAATGTTTCAATCTTTTGTTTGGAAATAGCTTCATGTTTCATTTACAAACAATATTTAAAAACCTGCAAAGAAAGGAAAATCTTCTGTTTTTCAGTCACATGGAAAATTTTTGCCTATTTTTTTCCCCTGAAGACTTATTTTTCATATTATTTCACTGTGACAACTTGGAAAATGAAATTTTTTATACTCTTTTTCAGGTAAGCTTTCTTCTTTTGAGGAGAGGAAAATTAATGTTTTCACTGTTGAAATAAAACAGAATTTGTCCATTGTAATGTGTATTTTTTTTCTATATATAATTAGCAGACATGTCTTATACTTCTACCAGTAAGATGCTTTAACAGCATCCCACGTGCACTAACATTACCATGCAGATTTGAGTCATCTTTGCCAGAATTGGTACTTTGTGGCAGATGGATGCTTTTTATTCTAAGTCTCTGGTATATTTCATTAATTGCCCCAAACCTCATCTGTTTTTAGAACATCTTTAAATATCAATCTTTTCTCGGAAGACTGAGTGGTACATGGTTAGGATTCTTTACCAGCCAGATTTCTGAAGGTTTGGTATCAGATGCAGTGGCAAGCCATCAGAAGAGACTATCTTCAGGTATAGAACATTATTGATTCACACACAGAAGGAAAATCCTTCAAATTATCCAAAAGGGTCCAAATGCTACTACCCTGAACATAGATGTGTTTGCATTTTATTTGCAACAACAAAGCAAGTGCCAAAATAAGGAAGATTACTTCACTTAATTCTGCAGAATGAGTTTCATTAAGCAGAACAATTACAATGAAAACAGTTGGGGTGCCATTAATGCCATTACAGGTCTCATTATTCTTTTTAGTCTAAACATCCATATTAGGGATGAATCTAATAGAGGCAGACATTTATATTGGAATATGAACTCTCTTTGAGGGTTCAAATGCCTTTCTGGAGTTGTAATGAAAATGTTCACACTGATTCACTTGTCACAAAACCACAACTCACTTGTTCTTATTGATTAGCAACTTCCATTGCTTCAGCTCTGAGTCCTTTAATGAGCAAAATAAAACTTGGGAAGCAGGTCAAGTATCACAAACCTCAAGGCTGCCCAGGGTTGTAATTACGTTACAAGAGCTAATGAACAAATCTACTCTATTTAATATGTAGTTTACCCTGATGGGTCTTACAACTGCCCTGATTTAAAACTGGAGTGGGAACACTGAGCCAAACTGATATACAAACCACAATGAGTTTGAAACTTTCAGGTAGTGAAAAAAGTCACTTTATAAAATCAAATGGATAGTTACAAGTTTGGAGAGACCTTATTGTGGCCCTTCAGTACTTAAAGGAGGCCACAAAAAAGATGAGGACAATCTTTTCATCAGGGCCTGTTGCAACACAAGGGGTGATGGTTTTACACCAAAAGAGGGGAGATTTGGACTACATAGAAGGAAGAGATTTTTTACACTGAGGGTGCTGACACCAGGTTTCCCAGAGAGGTGGTTGAAGCCTCATCCCTGGAGACATTCCAGGTCAGAGTGGAAAGGGCTCTGAGCAATCTGATCTGGTTGATGATGTCCCTGCTCACTGTAGGGAGGCTGGACTGGCTTACCTTTAAAGGTCCTTTCCAACCTAAACCATTGCATTATTCTGTGAGTGAGAGATGACACTGGCAGATGAAGCACTTTAGACCTTTTGCCCTGTGTTTCTCACAGGATTTCTCAAAAAGTCATAACCACAACTAGTATGTGGAAAATTCAGGTTGTTCAGTGTCCCCTGCCCACCTAACCTTGAACATTCCCAGTGACAGCACATAGATTCAGTGTAACTATTCATATGGAGGCTGTAGGGAGGAAAAGTCTCTTTTCCTTCCTCCTTAAAAAAATCAGCTGTGCCTTAAATTAATCACCATTGAGTAAAATCTACATTGCAGCATTTTCTGTGTTCTACTAAACAGCAGCTTCCCATACAGAATAAATGGAAAGAACATTTGTCTGAAGTTGCACTGTAGCTATGCTTTGTGCTCTTCTACACAGCACTAAAAAAACCCCTTTGTTCAAACACACGAGGAATACAATTCCAAGTCACAGTCTGAAACACTCTTTAAATTGCCATTTACCTAAAGAAAATTATATTTCCTCAGATCTAGCTTTAACAAAAATTGTCAATTACCACTTTGCTGCAGATGACTCCAGGTTTCAAACACCACCAATGTGCTTTGCTGATTCTCATTTCACTCTATAGCCTTAAATGCACTAGAGACTCTGCCTGTTTCCAGCTATTAAATTTCATATTATTTCATTTCCTATGCTGGATTATATTCTCTCATTTATTTACTCATTTAAAATAAAATTGGTCGTTTTGAAAGCAAAGGATTGACAATATCCATCAGTACTCTTTTCCTAAAGTAATATAAAATTTGTATTTCCTGTAAATGTGAGGCCTAAATGATCCCCCAAATATATCCAACTGCCTGAAAATCTAAGGTTTCACCAATGGACCAGTAAGAAATGCTTAAAAAAAGTCTTTCCATCACAGAAATATAAGCACAAGCACTTTCTACACTACTCCAAGCACCCCTTTTGAGCTTGGACATTTATTACAAGTGTTATGCAAAAACCTGGTGCAGAAGTTCTTATTCTTTATGAGTAGTTAAGATGCCATGGATTTTAAAGCACAAATGCTTGATGGTATTACAGAAGCTATAAACCCAAAAGTACCCTGGAATAGTCTATATTTCATGTGGAAAGAAGGGTGGGAATGAAGGAGAAGGAAAGTTTCCTACCATAATAAGTGAGTCGTCCTCTTGCAATGTTTTTTCCTCTTGAGTTTTCAGTAATACATTCATACAGTCCTGCATCCTCCTGCTGGAAATTAGGTATTTCAATCATGCCATTGGATTTCCTCAGTTTTATTTTACTTGGAAATGGCAGACCATCTGTTCTTCTCCAGTTAATCTGAGGCACAGGGCTAAAAAGAAAATAATGGGATTTTAAACAGCTTTAGTTAAAGTACCTGACTGTAAAGTTAGAAACTTAAAACTAATACACAGTAAAACTCAGAAGTAGCTAAAATCTTAGAAGTGACACAGATGATCAGGCACTATGGCCACTGGTTTGCCAGGATTCTTCTGTTTCATTATGGTACCAAATTTTTCATGAATATCCCTGTGAATGAACAATTGTAAATTTTGCTGTAAATCAACTCTGGCTTCCCCTGAAGACAGGTGAGATTTACCACTGACTTCCATGGAAGGAGAATCAAAGCAAGTCTTTTGAAATCCCAGTCTACAACTGCCACTCATTCTCTGATTTTAAACTTCCACTCACCTAGCTGGGGAAGCAAAGCAATAGCATGTGATTAAGTTATCAATCTGGTGCTTAAAATTATGAACATCTGACAAAGCTGTCTGCAAATAAACCACAAAGTGGTAAGTAAATACATTTACAGAAACATAAATGCATTCTCAGACCATTTGTGAAAGAGAAAAGATATCAATTGTGTGTGAAATATTCAGGAGAGGAACGCATTTTAGTCTTTATTTCAGCTATAAAGGAAGAACAATATTATGAAAGCATCAAGTTCATTTAACAGTAAAATTCAGACAATTCTCACAGCCTTCAACATTTCCTTCTACATAGAAAAAGCAGAGCTAGGTCAAAGCATATGTGCAAAACTGCACTGATCTTATTCAAGATGAATTGAAACGTGTTGCCAACATATACATTTTAATTCTAAACAACATCCAAAATTATTCCAATACTCTTTGCCCGTTTATTCCAAGGCAGCAATTGTGACAATCAAAATAGTCCTTAGAAAACACTGTCAAAACAACTGCCAGAACTCCACGTTTCTTCTGCAGATGAACCCTAAAATGTGCTTCAGCTTTCAGTATGGGGGAAGTTGAACACTTACTTCCCTAGTGCAAAGCATTCTAGCTTCACAGTTGAGCCTTTAGCTGCAGGAAGTGTCTCAGGAAACTGAACTTCTATTTTGGGTTCATATTCTCCCATCACACCTACATGAGACAAGGGGAAAAAAGAGCTATTTTTAGTTTTTAAAGCCTTTTTTCTCTCTTTAGTGTTACATCACGTTAAATGCAAAATCAAGTTTATTTCTCCTGGGTGGAAGCATAGAGACCCACCAGGGAAATCACTGGTGGACTTAGGAGAGGAAGAGGAGCATGCAATATAAAATAATTTATCTTCTTATGAAGCAATCAATATTCTAAGAATGCACAAGAGGTTGTCTGGTAAGACACAAAACCATTCACTGAAGACTAGAGGTGTTCATGGTTCATTCATGGTTCAGTCATGGTGCCAAGGGCCATCCTACCATCCGTGCGCAGCACCAGAGGAGTTGGTGACCCCAGGACTTGGCTCTTGGTCACAGTGCTGGTCACCACACAGGTGTAGTTGCCCACATCTGATGGCTCCACCTTGGCTATGTAGAGGTGCCCAGTCTCTTGGGACACGAACCGCCGGCTATCCTCTTGCACAAACGACGGATACTCGTTGAAGATCCAAGCAAACGACAACTCTAGTTGGTAAAAAAAAAAGAAATAAAGATGTTCAGTGGAGTTTTTCACATTTTTCACACATTTTTCTTCAAAGATCAGTTTATTTTAGTGCTGTATTTTACAATATTGGATTATATACAATACTATATTATGTAACAATCAGGACCAGAGAGCCAATGACTGAGAAAAAGAAACTTGAAAAAGTACCAGACAGTAGAAAAAAAATATATAAAAGGCAAAACAAACCATTTTGTTTTCACCAAATATCTCCTCCAGCAGAAGAAAAAGGTGAAAGGAATTCAAAGTGGTTTACAGAAGGATAATTTTTTTAATCTTCTTTTCCTGAAGACTTAATAAGCACAGAAATAGGAACAGACAGCAAAAGTAAGAACAAACTTTGCTAAAATAGAAAGAATGTTCATTTAGTAGCTAAAATGCATTTGGCATTGGACTCACCACACACTCAAACTAATTTTTTTTTCCCATAAAAATCCATAAAACTCTACAAAAAAAAATCTCTAGATGGTATGGCAAAGTAGCCCCCAATCATCCATAACAGTCATTTGAGAGGAAAATCACACTTCAAAAGATAAACTAAGAGATTTGGCAAAAGTTGCATTAGAATTTGTGGTTTTTTTTTCTGAACAGCACTCTGAGCTCTGCGTGCCAATTTTAATTGGCAAGAGCCCCTTCCTGTGTGAGGCCGTGTGCTTGTCTCCTTGATATCCTACAGAATCAAAGGAAATTAATTTTTAATAGTTTTCCAGGCAAGAAATGATTTTTCACCCAAATTCTGCTCAGCTGAAAGTTTATTAAAAAGATTCCTGCTTCTGCAAGTGCTAATGAGAGATGGTGATAGCTTGACTGACCTGCCTTCATGTTCAGATGTCTTGTAGCATTGGCACTGCCTCTACAAAACAGAGATCATCCCCTTTTGCACAGATTTAATTTGGGAGTGCATAAATTTGGATGCAGTCATGAAATGGAGAGGAGAGACTTTCATAACCCTTGCAGTTGGGCAGGAATATGCCCCAGGAAAGCACTGAGCCAATGGGGCCATTTAATACAAGGAATGATTGTGCAGATGAAAAAAAAAAAATCCAGTAAATGAAATGAGTAAAATATTTATGGATTGGCTAATGCAAAAAGGGTATCAAATGAAATGGGTTATCATAATTACATTTACAGCAACATTTAAACACCTTTCATCAACATAACTTTGCAGGAGCAGTGTGTGTGAGCAATTAAATCTTAGGACTTTTCTCAAGAGTTAAACTTTTGTCATAGTTGGAAATATTGATTGCTGAAAACAGCCATCCACTCTTTTGGACTTGCAGGGTGTCTCCTCAGGTGAAACAATGACTTCCACTACAAGTTCCTTCCCAAATAACAAGAGAGGTGCATTTAATTCATGATAAGGAAGACCAGCAAGGATTTGCCAAGAAAAGGTAAGGCAGTTAGTGCAGTGGGAAGTAAAACCCTATCATCTAGCTTGACTTCAGGAACACCTTTGAGATGTGCCACAGGAGTTTCATAAAAAGCCACAGAATAGCCATACAGTCAAAAAAAACCCTAAAAGTACAGCTATTCTCCCATCCTACAACACAAATACCAAGGTAGAGGTGTCAATGGCTTGCTGCTGAATAGAGAGGGCTTGTTGAGGGCTCCTTGTGCAGGAGGGAGGTGGCATCTCTGCACCATTACCATTCTGGCTGTGGTACTCAGTATCCATCAGCCCCTTCAAAGAGAATAAATTAAATAAAAAAGAATTTTTAAAAAGGAAACCAAGACCTGAAGGGTTTTGAAGGGGATTATGAAGTCTTTGGGAGCAAAGATTGTATGGTCTTGCTAAATGGGAAAGCCCAAAAAATAAATAATTCCATTTCTACAGAGCAGCAGGATGGAGAGAGTGATGACAAGGCTGGATGGAGAGAGTGATGACAAGGCTGAGGGACAGGCTGTAGACCAAATTAAGTATCAAGTCAGGAACTGTAGGAAAAAAAAATAAATAATCTGAATTTTCAGCACTCCATCAAACTCAGACATCCAGAAGACACAGAAGTGTGTGAAGCCAGGCTTTATTGGTGCTGGTATTTATTGAGCTACTTGTTTTCCTTAGCTCAAAATTGTCTTTTTTTTTTTTTTTTTTTTTTTTTAAACAATAAAATAATAGGGGAAAAAAACACATTATTCAAAACATTCAAAGGGGACGGACAGATCTGGATACGCAGGAGGAAAATAAGCAGCTTGATTTCATTCCTATTCTATTGGGTTAAGTCAAGAGTAAACTCATTGAAATTGGTCATTATGATTATGAAAGTGTATTCCAGTTTAATTGGATCCCACAATAGCCTATGAATAAGCACTCCTGGAAACCTAATTTCCCATTCAACATATATTTTCATCGACTCTTTTAAAAAAGGAGCAGGGTGTTTATTTACCACTGCCCCACAGCTAATATCTCATTTTATATTTATTGTACTTTACAAAATCATATTCTTATTTTTTTAAAAAAAATAATAAAATTCATATTAAACAACTTGTTGGGTGATTTATTATGTTTACACTATTTGCCTGTTGCTGATCCTAGGGCCCCTCAAGGGACAAAAACTCACTCCCCTCCTGTCAATTACAAGTTTTCAGTTGATTTTCTGTTATAAATGGAAGTAATATGTCTCTCCTGGGCTTCCTTGGAGATCTGAGCCTTTGCTTTCCAAAGCATTTTTTCCTCATTTTGTGCCCATACATGGAGAAGGTATTGGAAATTACAGTTATTACTCAATTTTTATATGTTTACTACATTTTGGTTGGCGGCTTCTCTTTATTTTGCATTATTTGATTATTATTTACTGTGTGATCTACAAGCCCCAGCCCGCCGAGCGTGCTCATATTATTCTAGGTGTTTTGTGCAACTAAGTGTGCAATGACAAATTGCTTTTAAGGACAATTCATAAAGTTTATTTTAACCAATAAACGGACAAATCCTGAAAAGAAATGAAGATACTTGATTTTGAGTGCATCAAGCTGACTGAACAACAGAGGGTTTATGTTTCCTTTTTTTAAAGAAGTTTCATGTCAATCACCACTACCCAATTCTCTACGATTTCATAGAGTTCCCCAGTTCAGATTTTACAACATCATATAATGGAGATAAAAAGGGAAGATGGTATTTGCTGTCTTCAGCTGGCACTCAGCCTAACCCACAGGACAGTATATGGCTTTTAGAAAAACTCTTTGCATGAAAGTAATCAGAGAAAATTTAGCAATGACAGAAATTGCAATTAAAGACGTGGAAATGTGAAACAACCAGCTATTTTGAATTATCTACCTTAGAGTTAAAAGCAATGGAAGAGTAACACTGCTTTTGAGAGGATAATGACAGATTCTATAATTAAGGAAGAAACCAATTAGTCCATCATTTGGCCCAGTTTCAGCTCAAACTGTGATGAAATGAGAGAAAATGCAGAAAAGCTTCATGCTTTGTGGCTGAACATCACTCAGGAAGGAGTGAGCTCTTATGGCACAGACAGGAGCTGGTTTTGTGGGGCAGTCCCACACAGCAAAGTCACTTTGCCACCACTGCTGAGCACAGCTCTATCAGCCTCTCTGCACAGGAATCCCTAGGAAACCACAGATTATTTAAAAGTTGGCAATCCATCTGCATGAGGTCCAAGTGCATTAAACTCCCAGAGGATGCTCTTAACCTCGACGAAAAGTGTCTAGTTCACTGCAGCCTAATCCTTAGAGGATTACACTGCTGTGGTCTTAGGTCACTGCACGTGGGCATGTGAGTACCCCTCGTGGGTACAATGAATTTTATCTTACACATACCACCTTCAAACTCCTCAGTAACTATTTGATTCCACTTAGTTCACTGCCTCAAGTAGCCTGTCCCCCCTTGGCCAAGCCAGCACAACCAGCTGCCACTCTTGGTGCTTGGACTTCAAAAAAAACATTTCATACTTTATCTCTCCCATATAATGTCTTTCTTTTTTTTTTTTGGCAAACATGCAAGGTGATTTTACAGATCAAAGTCTTTTGCACTGTAAGTGTAAAACAAGGTGTTCATGTACTCCAGCATGGGATCCCCTAACACGTAGGTGAACTGGATATTCTAATGTCTTTATCATGTCTTGATGTGTTATATCATTTTGACAATGAAATAGACTTCAGAATTTTATTGGAAATAAATTGTAGATCATTTCAATGGCTTAGGGTATATTCTTGAGTGCATTAAATGCCTAGAAACTGAGAAATTGTCCTGGGGAAAAAAAAAAATCAAAACTCAAGACTATTTTTGAGAAGCATCTTGAACTGTTGGAATCCAAGTAGTAATACCATTAATAATGCAAAAGTCTTTAGCTGTTCACACAAAATGCAGTCACACTCCAGAATACATTCTATCTATAAACTGCAAGTTGGTAGTTTACCTTTTGTTGATGTTTTCTATATAAAAATAATGAAACTTAAAATAAAAACCAAAACCCAAATCTAGAATGGGGCTTGAATTGTGGCCAACAGGAGTAAGGCAAGACAATGAGTATCTGGTTAAAATAGTTGTAACATTTTCCCAACTTGGTGAAAAAGATAGTGATGTACAAATGCTTCTGGAATTCCATCCCAACTCTTTGGAATAACTCTCTTCTTTTGGTTGAAGGTATTTTTCTTTATACAAAATGTAAATTGCATGATGGGAATCTGAATCCAGCTACAAAAAGTGAAGAACATATTCTGTGAAACTCATTTTATTTCAGAGTATAATGGAAACACCCTGATTTGAAACTAATGTATACCATTAATCTTTTTGGCATATAAGTTGAATTATTTTGTAGATAAAATACAAAAGATCAATTTTCAGCATGCTGTGCAGGTAATTAGGCATGCAACTTCTGTGTATGCAATAACCCAAAACAAGGAGAGCAGTGAGAGAGACCAATGGAATATCTTGCAAATTCAATCTACATATTTAATGAGAATATTGAAACGTTTTAGCTGAAATTGCAAGGTTCCTACTCTAGGC